AAAAAAAAAAAAAAGAGAAAGTTCATCATTATTATATTGTTAAGTTTTTTTACTGTTAGATGATTAGCGTGTAAATTATATAGGCGGGTTTAAAAAACATCATTATTCTGTAAACTGTAATACCGGATGCCATAGTTCATTAGCTGTGGATGTTTTCTGTTTTTCAAGTGGCAGTTGGCGTTCATTTTTCTGCACAGAAAGTGTTGTAAAAAATTGTTGGTGATAAGCGGAAAGTTGTAAACCAGGTAAATGCAATGTTAAGCACAGTTTAAGCTGGCACTAAGCTTAGCATTACTCTTATTAAAAAATAAAGTCCTATTTTTTTTTTGGTCTTATCAAGTTCAGTAGCTTTTTCAACCTTCCACCTGCTTGTTTCAGTCTGAAAGTTGTAATTACCAATTAAAATCATTAGAAAAACATTTTTTTTTTTTTGTATGAACTAAAAATGTATAAACTATCTGCACTTAGTAACTTTTTTTACTGTCATTTAAAACGGAAAAGGAAAGGAAAAAAAGAGACCAAATGTTGTTGGGTTACGGCAAGTGCAAACAGAAGTAAATTTTAGAAGACGCGGATGAATCTTAGAAGTTGAATGATATTATAACAGTAAACAATACCTTCTCTTTTTTTTCCTAATTTTTTGGTAACTTTTCTTACGTTAAAAAATTGTATTCATGTGTTAATTCGTCTTCTAAAATTTTCAAAGGAAGAAGAAAGCAATAAGGATTATTACAGTGGGATATGTATAGCATGAAAAGACTGATGTCGGTGGGAAGTCTAGCAATAAACCTTATATGATATAGTACTCTTTTTTTGACTAAAAAATTGTTAAATTTGTTACTAATGTTTGAAGCAAAGCAGATGCTCTGTAACAAAGATTCTGATACTTCCTACGGCAACTTTTTACCAAACCTAAAACATACTATGTTAACGGCATCTGAATGCAGCCTTTGTAAATACAGCAGCAAAGATTCCTGTTGGGCACACCACAGTAGTCAGAACTAAACATATTTTTTTATGGCAACGTTCTTTTCTGATGTTTTTTTTGATAACTTTTTCACCTATGTCGTTCTGTCTTTGCTGATTAACAACTATTTTATTAAATTATTTATTCTCATAATTTTTGTAAACTGCATTTACTAAAAAAATTTTTAAATTTTTTGATATTTTTGAAGTTTTGAATATTAAATTAATTCTAGGTGGTAAATTAAAAATGCATGACTTGACAGTTTTATCTTTTTTTAAAATTATTAAGTAATGATTTAAATTTAATTGTTATTCAAAATTCTTTTAGCATTTTGTACTAGCTGAATTTTTATTAGCTGAATTAACACAAACTTCCTCGTGCAGTTAACTGAAAAGGAATGAAATGTAGTCTCAATTGATCTTATCCATTTTTTTTCTACATTTATTACTTTAGTTGATCAAATGTCTCAGTGTTTGAACTTACTAATAATGTTGCATTAATTTATTGTTCTTTTGCAGGCTTACAGCAAAAATTATACTGTTACTTTAGTTGCTCGAACAGAAAAAGGAATAGATCAGATAAATGTTGAGAATAAGTTGAAAACTGGTTAATTTTGACCTATAACAGTTACTTGTCATAAGAATCAGTTTTATCTACGTGTTAAACTTTTTTGAACAGATTTATTTTTAACGGTTGCTAAATGTTTCATTCCTGGTTATCTGTCCTACTTTAGTGAATTTCATAGTTTTGCTAATTATTCTGTTAAGGAGTCATATGAAGAAGGCTGTTGCGGTGGAGTGAAGCTGCCAAATGTGCAATGATATATCACTGCAAAATTCGCTTATTTTCTAGACAGAGAACAAGACTATTAGATCTCTACTCTATAGATGTTGCTGCAGAACAAATCATCAAATATACGCCTTAATTTGCAGTTACAGATCTTACTTATCAACAGCTGCTTTCAGTACTAAACTCTTTTTTTGCGTGAGATAGTACTTCTGAAAAGGCTACATCATTAAAACATCATTTGCCACAGAACAGGGAAATTATATCAGATCAGCTTTCTAGCTGAGGTTACTTGCACGGTCAGCACATTGAAAACGAAGTTGTAGTGTAGAATGACAAACTATGTTCAGTATTCATGTTAGACGCTCGTCAATAGACCATGACAGTTATCGTGTAGAACTGTTGAATCTTGCGAGGAATGGAACAGATTATGAAAAATCAACGCTAGTGACAAAAAAGAACCGTCAGTGAGGTAACAAGAGACTAAAAAATTACTGCATAACCTGCTGATTAATGTTGCCAATAGTAACAGAAATTGTGTTGTAGACCGAGAGTGCTATTATTGCAATTACAGCTTTTCTGTTATTTATCTGATGCTGTGTATCAAGAAACTCATATGACTATCTCTATCCCGCAGTAAAGATAAGAGTTACTCCATGAAAAAATTTTTTTCTTTTCTGGATTCAAAACATCTGTATGAAAGTTGCAAATTTGTCGCTTTGGTCAGTAAAACATTCATTCGTCTATAACAAAATCTTAGAAAAGTATCATATACTGTCAGAATACTTCATAATTACTAAAATTGATTCGTTCAGAACTTCGTTTGTTTTATATATAAATGTTTATAAAGTGAAATAATCCGGTAGACTGTTCAAAAAACAGTGCAGCAAAAAAAAAAATAATAAAACCGGAGTTTTTTATAAATCACAAAAACAGAAGGCTTGCAAAAATTTTACTTTCCGTAAGGATAAATTAAGAGCTGTTGGGTTTTTTGTTACCCACCTTAAACATAGCCACAAAATATCGACACCATATAAAATGTTTAGTTGCACTAATTTAAGGCGTTAATGGTACTAGCAAATGCATTTTAAAAAAGCATTATCAAGACAAAAAGTGAAGTTGTTAAAACTATATTGGTGGACAGGTAACGCTGAGCACTTTACGTACAGCTCTGTATCTTTAATGTAGAGAGTTTCGTAAAGTTTTAGTTTCCAGTAAAAATAAAATTATTGATATTATCGGTAACTTTGTACATTTATTAAACCTTTCTTCCCAAATTGCAGTTAATTTAATTTTTAATCATATCCAATAGTTTGAAAAACCAATTGGAATTGGTACTTCTCCGAGCCTCTCGAGTCGGTACTTTACGTTTGTTTCTGCAATATTTAAAGCATTCATCTTTCAATAATGTTTATTACATTGAAACGGAATAACCAATAAAATACGCTTTTCCGCGTATTTTATTTCTAAAACAGTACTGTAACAGCAAAACAGTTAAATTTTTTACCACTCAATTTCTTATAAGCATAAAATAGTTACCTGCTAAAAAGCCCGGCTATGAAACCCAATACGTTGTTTGCAGCGCTATATGCAGCAGCTTGAATTCCATGCTGAAACTACTAGTATATTATTGTTATTACTGAAGAAAATTGTTCTAAATTTTATAGTGTGCTAAACGAGAATAGAAAACAAGACTTCTTTGACAAGTGTGACAAAGATAGCAAATCAAGTTTGCCAGAAAACAAGCAAGAAAACAAAAGATTATGATAACAATTATTTTGATACGGTTGTAAAACATTAACAAAAAAATGATCTGTAAGATTCTAAAAATTAAAAATTCATTTACTCTTAAGTGCAAATTAAGCAAAAATAAAGTTGTTCTTTGCTGCTGAACTTTAATACTGTGCCAAAAAGACAGACAAAACAGCAAATCTGCAATGAAAGCCCTAAAGTGTCTGTTTGAAATTTTTTAACGCAGCTCTGGAGTGATAGTGTCGTCACCCTATTAAACATAATCAATGCTACTGTTTTCACTTTTTGAAAAGTACAATGTGCTGCTCAGGACTTAAGCTGCTTTTTAAATCAGAGGTGGTTCATATCAAAAATCCTAAAACTAATAGTTTTTGTATATTGGTTTTTTCCACCATTAAAAAGATTATCTGCCGCAGAGAATAGAGAGATGAAACAGAGCCAGTGGAGCCGACAGAGTTGTTGAATCAGTCTTAGAGCGGTATTCAGTCAAGAAAGACGTTGTAAGTTTAGGTCTCAACGAAAGGCTAAGCTCTGCTGAATACTCTCAGGAAGACGAACAGCTAAATTGTTGATTGACATTCTGCTTGACCAGTTTAGCTTTGAAAATTTCTTCGCATTTCAGTAAAGACAAAAATATCAGTAATGAAAGCTTTTGAAGCTTCTGAATGAATTAGTTTGAAAATTTTGATGGTGACTCAAGCATTAAAGAACTATTATTCTTTATTGTTGAAGTTATATAAAATAAAATGTAATATGTTTAATTTTTTTTTGTTATTTCTGATGACGGTAAAGATTACTGTTATGATCTGTGTGCCGAACTCAAATAGAGCTCCTCCAAAACGTATCAGCAATGGTTTTTGTGGATATAATGTTTTTATTATTGAATCCTCGAGGTTTTCTGGAGTACAACAGCAAATTTTGGTATTTTTGAAATTACTGTTCTGTCTTATGCATCTATTGAGCTGCTGCGTGTAAGTTAGCTGAAATATGTATAAATACTATAAATTATAACTCAATCATTATCACCAATCATCAGTGATCTAAAAAGTTATCAAAAAATGGCTACGCTTAAAAACTTTTGAAATAATTTAATTTGCTTGATCACTATTACTGCTACTGTTTTTCATTATAACAGTGATGGGGTAAAAAAATTGTTGCTGAAGATTAGTTCTAATAGTGCCTTTTCACTTTTTTCCATCGACTACAATAACATTACTTCTTCGATAAAAAAGAAGATTGATTTTTACGAAGATTCTATCTGAACGACAATTGTTGCAACAAGAATTCAAAATTTGGAACCGTTTGGGCATCCTCAACGGTTTGGTATCGTCCTGCTAACTCTTCGGCAGATATCGTTTCGTAAGTGCCAATTAGTATCGTTGCTTTACCGGCATTTTCGGTCAGAGGAAGAAGTGTCTCGATCAACTTTAAGTTTCCTTTAAAACTGATATTAAGAAAAGGTTTAAAGTTATATTTAAAACATTTTTTCGCACTAATTACTCAGTCATCGTTTTCAAAATAACTGCTTCTGAAATAGTAGTCATTCAAATGTTCACCATCTTTAATAATAACTTGAAGATAGCTATAATAAAGCACTGATAAGATAAAAAAGAATAACCGATAATAAAAAATATCTAAAGCAAAAAACTGGTAACTTGCTTGTACCTGATTCTGTCTTGGCTGTAATATCTTTCGACTCCAGGGTTGCAATTAGCTTTGGAATGTTCACAATTAAATCCAGACAGTAAATCTCTAAATATCTGAGACGTTTAAAACAATAGAAAATATTATTTTAAGATTTACAGTTGTTAAGTTACCGCAAAGAAGTTGTTCAGCAGTCTTTTTAACATCGCTATCATTAGTCATATCCAAACGTTTGAAGATGACATGGCGCATTTCACACTCAGACTGTAAACAACAGATAATGTCAAGTTACTTAAACGTAAAATCTTCCTTTCCTTTTTTTTTCTTTGATTTGACTGATCAAAGAGTTCATAAACTTTTACTTATTCGGATGACGTAGCTTTGACTTTACGTGC